ATGCCTAAATAGTAATATCAAATTTCTCAGCAAACTTATTAGAATCCTCAGTTACGCTAAGAAGTTCCTTTACAATGGCTCGTAGCTCAGCTTTCATCCAGGGGACATAGGCAATGTGGGGCTTATTAGGATCTCCACAGGGTATAATCTGAAATGGAAAAGGACCGATAAGTTCTGAAGAAGGAGAGAGAGGAGGAGATTCAAAAGAGTTGAGATGAAAGTGGGGAAGGCGACAATGAAGAGCGAGATGGCGTCGGAGGTGGAGTTTGAGACGCAGGAGCAGTGGGGGAGGGGCAAGGCGGTGATGTAGACAAAGGACACGAGGTTCCAGGCACCATTCTATTTCAGAATTTTTAACAGTCTTTGTTAACTTTGAGACTATTTTGTAAGCTGACAACTTTCGATTCGCAGTCCTGTTTGGCCGCCTCCATATACCACTCCTAATAGGCATTCTGTTCCTGTTTCTCAGTTAAGCGCTGTTACTATCCAATTTAGTTTTATGAAAATCAAGTTTGGGAATCTCAAAAGTTTCTCAAAGTGGTCACTGATTTTTAAAATTAACTTGTAGTCAGATCTGTCCATTTAGTTAAATACGTGCACGAAAACTCCTCGCGGGATTAAATATAAACTTGGCTGGTGTCCCTTGAGGAGGGATAGTTTTAGAAGGCTTAGACATCAGAGATCCCATTTTTAACAGAGGGGCCAAAACAATTCACAGCTCGAATAACCTGCAGGTCTACAGCTCACCTCACTCTGGAACAGTCTCATCACTGCGAATCAGACCGGAGGGCAGAGCCAGTTCCAGGCAAATGACCAACTCTCAGGTTGTTCGGTTACTGGCTGAGCTGGCTGGCAGTCCATTATATTTCTCAATGAGGCACCACAATCTAATACCGGCTAAAACTGACCAATTTTATAACCTGGAAATAACCTAGAATCCTGAAAGGGATGTTAGGCGAAGGCCAGTTTTTTTTTGTCTCAAATGGTTTCCGAAGAAATCAAGCCGACATGCTACGAGTACACAGACAAAGAAAGAGGCTCTTAAAGCATTCACACACACACACACACACACACACACACACACACACACACATATAGCAACCAGCAAACAACAAAACAATTCCCAAATAAAGCCTGAGAGCGCCAGATGCAAAACCCCGTTGGCTCAAATTCAGGAGAGCAGCTCACCTGAGGCCTCTAAGCTGGGGAGCAAAGGATCGAGCCGAACAGCTCAGTTCGGCGCCATAGCTTGCCCGCCAGTCAGAAGCCATCAGAGTTGTGGTCCTCTCTGGATCCCGGATGAGCCCCCAAAATGTCCACTGGTAAAAATAACTGCAGAAAATCCACCAAAAGAATGGTTTATTTGGGAAAAGAAAGAGAAACCAAGTCACCACAGGATTGTGCGAATGCACACTCCCGACCAGCGCTCCAACCGGGCTGCCCATGTGAAAAAGAAAAGCCCCGATTCTAAAATGACTGGCCGTTCTATTTATAAGCATCCCTGCCCTGGAAGTTACCACAAAGTTTAACAGGAAGTTAGGTCTAGAGAGTTAACAAGGGGCCCAGATCCACCTATAGTTCTCCCAGCTCTATGGGAGTTCCCTTTTATCAAGACTTTAAAGCTTATCAAACTAGTCTAGATGGTTGCAAAAGTGTGAACGCACTCCATGCTGCTGTGTTGCACACTGTTAAAGCGTTCCTCTTAGGTGATGTGAATTTTAGCCTAATCTTAAAAACTGCCTTTCGAGGTTGTGTGCGTCCAGCCCGCCTCTTCTTGGCTGCCCAGCTCAAGGCCAGGGTCACATGGTGGACCTGCTCTGTGGCTCCTGGTGTCCTCCCGAATACGAAGCCTCCTTGACCAGAAAGCAGATTGTGAGCCACCCCCAGATACCAGCCATGATCCGTGACCGAGATGAAGACGTGCTTAGCTACGCGACCAGCTTGGGGGTGGAGGAATGGGCCGTCTGAAGTACTGCTGGAAGCTGAAGGTTTTCTTTCGGGAGAACCCGCACTTCCTGGGTGCGGTGATCAGCAAGGCGTGTGGCCTTAGCGTGGCTGGTATGAGGCGTCTCGGTCCACTCCAGGCCACCGGTTCTGGGATTATGAGCGTGGAGCCACGAGCAGCAGGAACGACACCAGCAGCTTAACTTCTTCAATTGGTCATCTGACCAGAACGGCCCAGCTCAGGGTCTGGCAGGAAGCTGAGGTCCTCAGCGAGGACGTGACGGCATCAGGAGGGGACGGACAGGGGGATATGCTGACCTCAAGATGAAGAGGGCGGAGCATCGAATTTGGCCCAAGTAGCACAGGAGTCCGAGGTGTAAACGGGTGGGAGAGATGGCGGGACACAGGAGAAACATGGGGAAAGGGTGGCCCGTGGAAGAATGGGAGAATGTGCACCACACATCTGGAGTGACACTGAAAGAGACATAAAGAAGCTCACCGGTGGACAAAATGTATAAAGGGCCGGCCGTGTGGCGCGTTCGTTAAGAGCTGGCTTGGGACGCCAGTTCTGGCAGTAGGGCCCCAGTTCAGATCCCACATGAGGGCCAGTGACACTGCCCTCCACAGCAAAGATGGTGAACAACAGCTCAACCTGGAGCTGGGCTGCCAAGAGTCGCCGGCGATGGGTAGGCTGCAACCCCTGCAGCAGTGGGTTGCCATGGGGAGCCAGCAGCCAGCGTGAGCGGCCAGCAGCCGATGTGAGCTGCAAAGAGCCACCGTGAGCGGCAGTCCAGTGGCCGGTGACGGATCTGCCTCACCCGGGAAGAGCGCAATGATAATACCAACATGGGCCAGTGAAGCGACGTCCTCCACAACTAGACTGAAGAACAAAAGGACAGCAACTTGTCTGTTCCCCTTCCCCTGATTCCCCAGTACTGTTCCCCTCCCCCAATTCGCCAATAAAATCTTTAAATAAATAAATAATAAGAAAATAAAACATAAAAAATACCTTTCAAAAACCTAAAATAAACTAGCACACGGACTTCCTGTCCCTCTGACCCAGATCCTGCAGAGGGTGACATCTTGGGTGCCCGCCATGCGGGGGTCACCACCAGCATGTGACAGGGAGATGATGCTACCATCTGGGCTTCCGACTTTCTGCATGTTTTGCCAGCCCTCCCATGTCCTTGAGTAACCTTGGAGACTCCTCCATCTTTGTCTTCTACAACTGTAGCACTGTTGAACGTCCAGCCGATAGTTTAATAAAACGTTTCTCCATTTGGGTTTGTCTGACGGTTTCTTGTGAATAAATCCCAGATAGGCATTTGTGGCAAAGATACCACGGAGGTGATGTGCCATTTTCACTGCACCGTCTCAGGAGACCCACAACTCATATCGATGTGTCCCTTCCTGGTGGCGTCAACTTTGATGATTTAGTTCAGGTGGTGTTTGCCTGGCTTCTTCACCAAAAATTAACTTCCTCCTCCCCCAATGTCATTACCAGGTGTCTTGTGGGAGTGTCTTTGACACTATATAAATACCCTGTTTCTCCTCAGGTTTTCAGTTAGTAATGCGGGTTCTTGGCTCAAAAACTTACTGTGGTGCTTACAAACTGAATTTTCTACTTGAAACCTATCTAAATATCTTTTTTTGGTGACTTTTTGCTTCATTTTCCCCAAATAAAGTGCGACATAAAACAGTAATAACTAAAGATAGAATCTGGTTTGGCTGTGAAGGAAATAAAAGGATCTGGGGGACTGAGGCACCAAGGAAAGTCAAAGCCAGAGTAGAAGGGAAGAAAGAACCGCAGAGAAACTACGGTATCAAAACCACCAAACAAGTGGGCAGAAATAACTCTAAATAGGGGAGTGACCCAATACGTAGAAATAGGAGAAGCTCATTCATGAATTATCACGTTCAATTAGAAAGAAAATCAGGCCGTGAGTTAGTTTTTTTAAAAAATCTATTGGGGAATTGGGGAAGGGGCAACGGCAGGTTGTTGTCCTTCAATCTTAGTTGTGGAGGGCGCAGCTAGCGCTCTTTTTTTTTTTTTTTAAAGATTTTTTTTTTATTGGGGAATTGGGGGGATGGGAACAGTGCTGGGGAATTGGGGGAAGGGGAACAGACAAGTTGCTGTCATTTTGTTCTTCAGTCTAGTTGTGGAGGACGTTGCTTCACTGGCCCAAGTTGGCACCATCATTGCGCTCTTCCCTGGCGAGGCAGATCAGTCGCTGGCTTCTGGACGGCCGCTCACTGCGGCTGCTGGCCGCTCACGCTGGCTGCTGGCTACATACGGTAGCCCATGGCAACCCACTGCCACAGGGGCTGCAGCCTACGCCGTCGCCGTCGCCGGCGACTCAGGGCAGCCCAGCTCCAGGTTGAGCTGTTGTTCAGCATCTCAGCTGTAGAGGGCAGTGTCACTGGCCCTCATATGTGGGATCCGAACCTGGGCCCTCTGGCGTCCCAAGCCAGCTTTTAACCATCGCGCCACTCGGCCGGCCCACCCCGTGTGATAATTTTAAGAGCTGTGCCTAAATTGGCAGTAACACAGGATTCACCTGGTAACACAGTTGGAAAGTCAAAGTGCAGAAAGTCATGCCAGGCATGGGGTCAGTAGGATGGAGGGGGTGCTGGCTTCCTCACCGTCAGGTAAAAGGGAATTCATCCTAGGAAGCTGGGCAGGGAACAGACGTGAACACTCAGCTGCTGAAACTCTTACCCATGTTCTAGAGCAAAACCAAATGCTGAGTTCTAATGGGTCCTGACCATCCAGCCCCCCTCTGACCCTGCACACAGGTCAGACATCCACCCACAGACAGTCGGCCAGACCTCATGACTTTGGCTGCTAGAGCAGGTCATCCCCCTAAATAACTCATGCTCCCTGTGACAGTCAAAGGTCAGAGACGAAAGAAAAGTTCCCAGAGTGTCCCCCCGGGAAGCCCACCCCGGCAGGGAAGCGGTGCCCCCTCTGCTCACACGTGTCCGTCAGAGGACGTGGACGTCCATTGGGAACAGAGGCCTCTCCTGGTAAAGCCAGCTTCCCTTTCTGACCATAGGTGACCGCCGCGACCAGTGTGACCCGGTGTGGCTCAGACAAGTATGAGCTAAAGAGCCTTGGCCTGTGCTGCCCCCTGTGCCCGGCAGGTGAGTGTTGGGACGTCTTCCCGAGCCCTCCGGGCAGACCTGACCTGGGTGGGAGGAGGGGGCTCGGGGCAGAGCAGCAGGCTGTCGTGGGGGGGCCTCTCCTTGGCAGCCTCCCACCCACCCCACCAATGCACCCGCCTAGTGGGGCTCTCCTGTGAACAGAGGGCTTTATGTGCTTGTTTGAAGGTGGGTGAGCTACATTCAGCAGAGCTTGGAGGACACAAGTGGGGGTGCATGTGCAGGCAGGGCGCCCCCACATACCCTCCTGTCAAGAGGTCATCTGGGGAACCTGGTCAGAGGCCCACTGCCCCCACACCTGCACCCCCGTCTACTTACATAGGCAGTTGTGCACACACTCTCAATGACACTGCTTCAGGGGTCTCCTCCGTGAGGGGGCCAGCCACACACCTACCCCCATCGCCATCTGCACCCCCACACTCACCTCCTTCTGTCCGTGAACCTGTGTCTTCACAGGACGCCTGGCTCAGGGGCCAAACCTCACAGCTGGACCCCTCAGCCCCGTACCCTCTCCACATGCACCTGCACATACACCTGCACTCACACACGTGAGCACACGCACACCTGCGCACACCACACTTAGAAAGGAATGAGACCCACTTGGCCTGCGTGACACCTGTGACCTCCTGATGTGTACAAAGTGCACGTTTTGGTGGCCTGTCCCCGGGAAGGAGTGACTCAGATACAGTCTCGCATGAGGCGAGCCCCGGGCCCGACGGCTCCTCAAGAGTGGGTCAGACGCCTCTGTTTCTGGACTTCGATGTCCCCTGGAATTTGGGCTGGAAGCTGATGAGCATGCGGGGTGGTGAGGGGCCGGATGGGGCGGGGGTGGACGCACAGGCCTCCAGGCTCCCGAGCAGGCTCCATCTGTCTACATGAGCTGCAGGATACTGGTGACAGCTTAGGGGGTGCTTCAGGTCCCCAGTCCCTGGGACACATGGATCGGGGTGTCAGTCCAGAATGTTCCAGAAAGGTAGGAGGTGAGGGGCGACAGTGTCCAAGGGCCTGGCCACCAGGGGCTGTGGGACCTCCTGAAGCAGAGGCCTCGGGTCCAGGTCGGGTCTGTGCAGAGATGGCTGCCCTGGGCGTCCGCCTCCCATCTGTGTCCCCCCCACGCAGGCCAGCACGTCAACAAACATTGTGACGGGACCCAGTCCACACAGTGCAGCCAGTGTGAGCCTGGCACCTTCACGGCCCATCCCAACAGTGAGACCAGCTGCCTGCCGTGTGCTCAGTGCCGGGACGGTAAGTGGGCTGCGGGTGGGTGCGGCTGAACCTCTGGTTTTAAAGCACCCCCTTCGACCTGGCTCGTAGGAATACCCCAAAGGCAATTATTAAAGATGGACTCGGGGACGGGGCTGCCAGAGCCCCCACCACACGGCGCCTTTTCCCAAGATGACACGTGTATGTGGTTAAATAATCAGTCTACACGTTATCAGCATTTCAGAGTCGCTGAGCACCAGAATAATATACAGGAGGGGCGGCCGTTTGGCTCAGTGGTTAGAGCACAGTGCTCATGACACCAACGTTGCCGGTTCAATCCCTGCATGACCATGGAGCTGCGCCCTCCACAACTAGATTGAAGACACCTACTTGACTTGGAGCTGATGGGTCCTGGAAAAACAGAAGCTCCCCAATAAAACTGATTTTAAAAATATTTGAGAAAAACAACCAGAAAAATATACAGCGGTTCATCTAAATTTCTATGTATGAGCAACAAAGTGATTTTAAGAATGTAACTTTAAAGAAAAATACCACTTACATGGGCAAAAATATAAAATAAGATACTTCAGAATGTATCCAATAAAAGATGTGTAAAATGGTTTTAGAGCAATCACTGTTTTAAAACATCCAAGCCTGCAGAGAAATACAGCACGGTGAGGAAGGAGACTCCGTGTGTAAGGATATTGGTTCCCACGAAACGGGTCTCAGATTCAGTGAATCGTCCCCAAAGGAAGCGCCAACAGCACATGTCCGCTCACGCTCTGCACCCTAATAGATCCACTTCTGACTTAAAACATCACCACAGGCACTTTCCTAAAGCTCAGTAAGCTGACAGCCATGGAAACAAGACGGCACCAGCTCCCCACATATTAGGACTTCGTACAAGACACGATTAAGACGGGAATAGTCACTCAGGGTGGAGAGTTAAACCAGCGGGACAGAGTGGGAAACCTCATGCCCGTGACCCGTGGTGTGTGGCACCGGGACCTGTCTCTTCCTGGGAGGATGGTGGTGTCCGCAGACGATGCTAACATGGATTACTGCTCCTCCTCACGGGAAATGTCCCCACAACCCAGCTCTCACCATCCACGAGAAACAACTTCTGGTCCATGAAAGTCCACACGTGAAATGTAAAACTTTAACAGGGACAATATTCACAGTTTCTATCACTTTACAGCAGTGAAGCATGTTTCACATCTGTCACAATAAAACAAACTGTAAGAGGAAAATTGATACATGGGACTGCATGAAAACAGACAAACTTGTTCCTCAGAAAACACCCAAACGTGAAAATTTGGGCCATAAGGTGGGAGGACATATTTGTGCTGCATGTAACTCACCAAATTAGTATCCAGGACACATAAGTGTGCCTATAGATCAGTACTAAGGGTTCAAAAGAAACTTTTTTAAAATTGGGGATCAGTGGTTTTTCAGGACCCATCAGCTCCAAGTCAAGTGTTTCAATCTATTGGGTTGTTGGGAAAAGTCATGACACATTTTTGCAACGAAAAACAGAAAAAATACATCATGAGTTTTCCGACAATCCAATAGTTGTGGAGGGCGCAGCTCAGTGGCCCATGTGGGAATTGAACCGACAACCTTGGTGTGATGAACACTGTGCTCTAGCCACCTGAGTTAGCCGGCTGTCCAGAAAAGAAATTTTAAGTGGAGAGACACACAGACGATTCAAAGATGATGAAGCATAAATGATCACTAAACATACAAGAAACACTGGAGTGAGTGAAAAGACACACTGTTTTTTGCCTGCCAGACTGAGAAATTAAAGATGTTAATGCCACGTGTTCCTGGGGACACGGGACAGTGAGGACAAAGGGGAGAAGCAGGAAGGTGAAAATCACTGTGGGCGGAGTTAGTGATTAAACATGTGCCTGAGCACCCACCCCTGTCCCACCCCGTGTCACCCATGTCCCAGTCTAGACCTGACCAGCTCTTCCCATGTGCTCGGAGGGAGCTGGGGAGTTTGTCGTAGCGCAGCCAGAAGCCCCCAAACGCTCACTGACTGCAGCGTCTATAAAGCATTGTGTGAATACGCACGGGGCGCGGTGCCCACAGGGAGAGTGGACCCCGGATGTGAGAGAGGCCCAGAAGCCACCCCAGCGTGGTGTGCACAGCACGACCCCGCTGTGACTGTCGTGCTGACACGTGTGGCTTAAGGATGTGACAGGACGAGGTGGTTTCTACAGGGCAGACCTCCGGTGTGGGTAGGGGCTTCGGGGTGTGGGTGGGAGTCTCAGGCTGGGGGTGTGGCCCCATTTTATTTATATTTCATGTACTGTTTATGGCTCTTCCACTGTGGTACCAGGGAGAACGGGCAGATGGGCAAAGGCGTTTTTCAGACCTGAGTGCACCCCCATGTTTGAGGCGGCCGGGCCGGCTGTGGGGCGTCTGCCCTGTGGGGTGTGTAGACGTGACCATGCCCAAGGGCTTCCAGAAGGGCGGTCATCAATGTGACTGCAGGGGTGGGGGGTGCGATGGCTGCTCTGGGTCCCCGACCTCTGTCTGGTGTGTTACACAGAGCCAAAACTGGTGTTGTCTTTTTCTTTGGGGGACAAACAAGATGGAAGCATTTGGGGGTGTTTCTCAACAGCTGACACTGTCCCCCCATCCCAGATTGCAGGGGCACCCTCTGGTCCTTGCACAGACACTGCAGGTTTGGGGTCACCCACCATAATGTGAACACCCCAATTGCAGGAAATAAGTTCTGGTGGTGACCTCGTCACCCCTAGGTATTAGCAGGGAGGGTGACAGCAGACACGGTGTGGCTGGATGTGGCCCGGTGTGGGCGGGGACAGAGTCCGTGCCCTGTGACTGACCCTCAGCCTTTCCTCTTTACAGATCAGGAGGAGGTGACTTCGTGCTCCCCGACCAGGGACCGGCAGTGCCAGTGCAAGACAGGGTCCTACTACTGTGACTCAGGGGACTGTGTGGAGATGTGCTACCGCTGTACCAGGTGCCACCTCGGGGACGGGCACACCAGACAGGCCTGGGCTTGGGTACCCACGCCTCCATTCGCAGCATCTTTGCTTTGGGTCATTCGTGTAGTCCCTTCTCATGGGTGCCTCAGTTTCCCCATTTGTAAATGGGGCTCAAGGTAGCACCTTCCGTGCAGAGGGGTCCCGAAGGTTAAATCAGACAAACCTGCTGGAAGTTTCCACCTGGCGGCCGGCCAGCCTCAGGGACCCCTGGACTCGCGGATCCATTCATTCAATGACTGGGAGCCCTCTGGCCGCAGGTGGGTCTGCAGGCCTCAAGCCCCAGGGGTGTAGGAGACAGACAGTTAGGACACACACACAGTGACAAATCCGTGAGGGGCAGACGGCGAGGAGGGGGCTGCTTAGACAGGTCTCTGGAGTAGAGGCCTGATGAGGGAGGGATGGAGCCATAGAAAGTTCCAGAAGGAGGGAGCTCTGGCAAGGAGAAGAGCGTTCTGTGCCCTGTGACCGCGCTGAGGGACCGCTGTCGCTTTGTGAGCGTCCTGGGGCTGCTGTAACAAAGCACCCCGCTGGATGGCTCTCAGAAACAACAGAAATGTGTTCTTCCACAGTCTGAGACCAGAAGTCCGAAATCAAGGTGTCGCCAGGGCCTCGCTCCCTTGGAGGCCCTGGGAGGAACCTGCTGCCTCTTCCAGCTCTGGGTGGTGGCGGCTCTTCTTGGCGCCCGGTGGCTTGTAGGCGCATCACTCCAACCTCTGATTCTGTCCTGTCGCCCGTCGTCTCCTGTGTGTGTGTCTCTGTGTCTGCACATGGCCTCTCTATCTGCGCACCGATGTCCGTCTTGCAAGGACATCGGTCATTCTGGCCGACCTGCTCCGGTAGGACCTCATCCTGACGCGATTACATCTGCAAAGAACCTATTTCCAAATCAGGTTTCATTCTGAGGTTCCGGGTGGGCATGGATTTTGGGGGAGACATTGCAGTGGTGAAGCCACTTGCAAAATAGCTCACTTTTGTGGGGCACATTGGAGATTCTTAATTACACATCAGCCTGTGTTAGGCTGCGGCTCATGTATCTGCCAAGTGCAAAGTGAGGGCTGCCGTCAGGTCGGGTTTGATCAGGGCTCTGGCTTCTCTAGACCTCGCTTGCCTGTCCCCTTCTCCATGGGCTTCATCTCCGGGCTGACGTCCCTCTTGGTAAAGACGCGGCTACAGCAGGTCCCATCCTCATAGCCACACACAGCTCTGTCCAGGGACAGAAAGACCGAAGTCCTGAGCTTTATTCTCCCTGAAGCGATTTGGGCAGATCGCCTGGGAAATGCCAGGCACCGATTGCCCTGAGGCTGGGTCTGGGGCCGGGCAGGGAGAAGTCACCTCGGGTTTCTTCTCCTTCCTCTCAGGTGTGAACGTGCCACCCTTCATCCGTGCAATGCCACACGGGATGCCACCTGTGCTGCAGAAACGAGCCCAGTGCCAGGTGAGAAGCTGATCTCATGTCTTAAACCTGGGTCAGGAAACCTTTCCCCAAAGGTGAGGGATTTCGGCTTTGTGGGCCGAATGGTCTGTGTTCTCAATACTCACTCAGCTGTGCTGCTGTCATGTCGGAGTGGGGGACAGAAAGTAAACGGGTGTGCCTGGCTGTGCCAATAAAACTTTATTCACAAACTAGGCGGTGAGCTGGGTGGAGCCTGTGGGCCATAGTTCAGAGACCCTTGTCTTCAGTGAGCAGACAGACTCCTTGGAGTCTGCGTTGGGCTTCCCCACCCTTGCCCCCCGAGTTGGGCCCTGTGGGGTCAGGTCAGCATCCCTGGGCTGACCGGGTAGCTCTCTGGACCCATCCTGCCTCCCGTTGCGGAGCGTAGCAGGTGGGGAGGACTGGCTGGCTCCCAGGGCCGGCAGGTGTCTCCTTCAGTTCAGACCCTTCCCGTTTCGTCCGTCCTCCCCGGTGTCACCCCGATGCCGTGCTGGTTCGTGGTGGGAGGCGGGGACCATGTTCCGCTGTGTGTTCTCCATACTCACATGCAAGTGACCCAGGATCGTGTTTCTAAACAACGGTCCCTTCCCCCACCCTCAGTGTCACTTGGTCATGAACCAAGTGCCCATGGAACCCTGGGACTTTCTGTCTGTCTGTCCTTGGATCTGTCCCGCTCTGGTGGCAGGCCTGGACATCGGAGGCAAATGTCCCCCGTTGTCCTTATGATTGTCAGGGCAGCTCTTGGACTTTGGGGTGTCAGTTCCTAGTTCAGAATGGCTTGTTGATTTTCACAAAAATATTTATTCGAAAACACACAAACACTCAAAGAATAGTGTAATTCCCAAAAAAAAGCAAAATACATTAGGAAGGGCTCAACCTGAGTATAAAGAAAAGCCTTGGAATGGAAGGATGACGTCATGTGACAGCGTCACCGTGGTCCCTCTGTCCTCACGGGGCTGTCACAGTTCCGATGGGCCTGCCCCGCTCCCGTATCTGTGTGTCTGTGGCTCTTATCGGTGCTGTGATGTCACCAGGCTGAGACCAGGACACCTGACTGATCTCAACACACGTTTCCTGGGGTGGACCCTGCCCTGCTCCTGGGGCCACTGTGCCGGGCCGTCCACAGTCAGGACAGGCCGTCCCGTCCCTCCTTCCGGCCTCCAGGCTTTGCCTCCTGCTGGCCCAGGAGTAAACCCCGCAGCTGTGGCCGCTCAAGCTGGACGGGGCCCCAGCCTGGAGCACCAGGACCTCTTGCTGCCCTTCTGTCGGGAGGCACCTGCTTCTGCTTCTGAGGAGCAGGACCCCACACCCTCTGAGCTGGGTCCTTGGTTGAGCCCTCGGATGGAGGAGCCTGTCTTCCTGCCTCCCCGCTGGGCTGGGCCAGTCACCCCTCAGTGGGGAAGCGCTTTGGGGCCTGGGCGACGGGGATGTCGCCTTCGGTCCCGGGAGCAGGCATGTCTTCTGCAGCAGGTCCCTTGGGCCAGGGAAGCGTGCTCACCCTGCTCTAAATACCCTGTGTCCTCCGTCAGGAAACCCAAACGAGGACTGCCTCATCCCTTTGCATCTGTGGGTGTTCGTTGTCATCGGCACTCTCATCTTTGTCAGCATGGTTGTCATCATTGTTGTTGTCATCATCTGTTGCTGTAGAAGACGACGTAAGTGAGAGTTCGATCAATTCCAGAGAAATAGATCAGTGACCCCATGGGAGCTCCGGGTGGGGACCTGGGAATAGGAGGTCCCGATGGGGAGTTTTCATTTAAAATAAGGTGAAACTTTCTAAGTTGGGGGGCCTCCCTGGGCCTCAGCTGGCGTTGGGGGGTAGGGGCCGTCTGTCACGTGCTCCCCGACTACACACAGGGCTCCAGACTCAGGACAAATGGTTGGATGGAGACGGGGCATTTGGGGTGTCCTCAGCTGGGAAGCAGGGAGCGACTGGTGCTGCTTTTGCCAGCGGGGCCGGGAGGAGGGCGGGTCCCTGGGTGCTGGTGAAGGGCACTGAGTAAGCTCACCTCTCTGTGTTGCCAGGTATGCAGCTTTGGCAGCCGGTTGCCAATTTCTTGAAAAGTAAGTACACTTTTATTCTCATACTTTGTTGAGAATTCCATGCCTTTCCTTTTTCTCTCAGGAGTTGTTGTCTTGTCAATGTGAGTTATAGCCACGCGCCACTTAGTGACGGGGACACGTGCTGAGAAATGCATCGGGAGGCGATGGCGTCACGAGCCCACCTCAGCGTGCACTTATACACCCCCAGGGGGCACACCTACCGCACAACTGGGCTGCACGGGACAGCCTGGCGCTCCCGGACCGCCCTTCTGCACAGCACGTTACTGCAGAAAACAACACGAGATTAAACCAACACCAGAGACAACGATGCCATCACGACACCCGGTGAACACGAGGCGTGTGAGGCTGCTGCCGGGCAGCACGGCACGCTGTTTTACAGCAGAGTTTGCATTTTATAAGTAGAAATAACACTCTAACATAATGATAAAAAGTGTGCTAACTACCTAACGCAGGAGCATGGTCAAGTGTTATCGTTGTCAGGTTCTATGTGCTGTACATAATGTGCAGTGTGTGCGTCTGGCGGCACGGGAGGCCAGAGACGCGTGTGGAATGCGTTGTCCTATGTCGGCATGGTGTCACTGGGCGATGGGAATCTTTCGGCTCCATTAGAATCTTCCAGGACCACCCTCATTTATGGGCCACCGTTGCCCGAAACGTCGCTGTGCAGCGATCGCATGAGCGTGTTTTTCACCTGTGTCTCTTCCTTTTGCTTTTCAGAAGAGCGGAGTGAGCCAGGCAGCCATGTGAGTATCACCCTGGTATTTGCCCCATGGTATCTTCCGGCCAGGACGGCAGTGGAGACACCCCAGGGAGGGCGCGCGGCAGCAGCCCAGGCCCCCCACGTGCGTGCACAGCTCAGCCTGTGGGGTGGCTTCTCGTCCCCTTACTAGACCCCAGAACACGTGTGCTAGGAGAGGACTTCAACTCTGCTGATCTAGACCCCTGAGTGGAAACTGAGGCGCAGAGAGGCAGAGGGCTTTGTGCTGGTTTCCTGGGGCTGCCGACATAAACGATCGCACTCGGGGGTGGGGGCTTAAACACTAGCAACTTCCAGTCTCCCAGCTCTGGAGGCCAGAGTCCGAAATGCAGGTGTCAGCGGGATTGGTGGCCTCCGAGGCAGGGGGGCCCCTTCCCGTCCCTGTCTTCGCTTCGTCTGGTGTGGCCAGCTGTTCTTGGCATCGGGGGCTGTAGACACATCACTGTGCCTGTGTCCTCACACAGCCCCGTCCTCGTATGTCTGCAGAGCTCTCCTATCAGGACACTAGTCACTGGACTTAGGGCTCACTGTCACCCAGTATGACCTCATCTGTAAACACCCCATTTCCAAATATGGTCCATTCACCACTAACAGGTCAGGATGTAGACTTCTCTTTTGGGGGCCACCATTCACCCCATGACTGAGTTGTCCTGGGATCCCCCAAGGAGTTAGTGGCAGGGCCAGGACCTGACCCCTGCAGTATCCTCCTCTGACACTGCACAGCCCTGGTGAACCTACCAGACAGCTGGGCCTTTCTTTTCCCAAAAGGGCCTTAGGGGGGGCTGTGCTGCGGGGCCCTGTCACCAAAAGAAATTCCTCTGTCTTTCAGTCATATAACTCCAGCCTTCCCAATGAGGTGTTGCCACCCACGGACCCCAAGAGGCACCCAGCAGCACTTGGTGTGAACTCACCTCTGTTGTACGAGGGCCCAGCTTTGGCAACGGAGGCCAGAACCCCACCAGGGCCCTCTGAGGACCCCGAGGATGGAACTGAGCTGCAGGTGGTGGTGACTGGAGGAAGTGACACAGCCCCAGAGCAGGCATCACAAGCTCATGCTCCCGTGTTACAAGCTCATGCCTGTGGGCCCCAGGGCCAGGCCGAGGCATAAGCCTCCCTCCGTTGTCTGCAGCAGGTGAGAGACATCTGCGTGGGTCTGGGTGACAAGGAAGCCAGTGTCCGGAGCATAACGTGCATACTCTCATAATTATCATATGAGTTTCCTGCAGCGACTGCAACGAAGCACCGCAGCCTGTGCGGCTGAAACATCAGGAATTGATTGCCTCCCAGTTTGGAGGCTGGAAGTCCAGGATCAAGGTGTCGGTGGGGCTGGTTCTTTCTGAGGCTGTGAGGGAACGTCTGGTCGAGCCTCTCCCTGGGTTGTGCCGGTTCCTGGTAGGCTATGGGGTTCCTGGGCTTATAGATGCATCACCCCGTCTCTGCCTTCATGTTCACGTGACGTCCCCCCTGTGTGCGAGTCCGAGTCCACAGTCCCCCTTCTCACAGGACACAGTGACAGTGGATCAGGGCCCACCCTAATGAGTGATCCCATCTTTACTGTCTGCAATGACCCTAGTTCCAAATACGGTCCCATTCACAGCTACTGGGGGTTAGGACTTCAGCACATGATGTGGGGACACAATTCAACCCATCACAGTCCCCAACCTTAACTGTTGTCTGAGGGGACTGTGACACCGAGGGGGCACCGATGCTGAGAACGTGTCCTCACCCAGGACCCACTGCTGGGAGGCAGCTGCACCAAGGTGCCCCACCCGCTGGTGCTGGATACTGTGGCCTCCCGAGCGCACGAGGTCTTCTAGGTCACGAGGCCAGACAGCTGTGTGACACGAGGCGTCTGGAGAAGACGGGGTGTAGGGGTGTAGGAGGGCGGGGCACACGCACATCCGCAGGGCAGGCTGTGCAGGACGGAACAAGGCTCCCCGTCCAGCCGTGCAAGGAGAGAGTGACAGCCTCATCCTGGTTTGTGGGCTGCGGGCTGGGGGTGTCCCAGGCAGTGACACTGAATAGGGTTTGGTGAGATGAGCAGAGGTCCCCTAAGTGGCCCTTCAGGAAGAGGGGACAGTGTGTGCCGCATCTCAGAGGGGCACGGAGCCGGTGTTTGGGGAATAACGAGGACCCCGTTTCTGGATCCTAAAGGCAGGACGCAGGTCAGGGGTTGAGGGAAAGCGTGCCCGGGACGAGGTCGTGGGGCTCCTGTGACGAAGGTCCTGGGCCCCGAGGCTCCCGACACAGGCATGGAGACGAGGTTCTGGGGTCGTGTGTCCTTTCACATCATTTCCGAGAGACAGTCTGTGACTTTTGTAAGACTTTTCAAGGGGTGAGACAAATATGATGCAGAAGTTAGACCCCCCCCCCGCCCATGTCAGTGGAGGCACTGCGGGGTCAGGCTGTGTGCTGGGGTCCCTGGAGGTCCCGTGGCCTGTGCTGTGAGAGTACAGCCGTTATCACATTCTATTGATTGATTTATTGAATGATTGAAATTTTTTGGGGAACAGCGTTTTTTCCAGGACCCATCAGCTCCAAGTCAAGTAGTTGTTTTCCATCTAGTTGTGGAGGGCGCAGCTCTGTGATCCACGTGGGGATCGAACAGGCAACGTTGAGGTGTGCATTCTAACCACCTGAGCTCACCGGCCGCCTCCCTTATCCCATTCGTACCCCTACTTGGTGGCAGAGCAGCCACAGGACAGAGAGGGGGAGTCGGGTGCCAGGCTAGCAGTGCCAAGAGGCGGAGCTGCGGTCTGAACCACGTGGTCCGGCCCCAGGGCTCGTGCCCACAGCGGGCGGCTCGTACTCATGGGAACGCCCACCCTCCCCCTCCCCCTCCGCAGAACCGGGAGTTTGGAGCCGCTCCAGCAGCAGCTCCTTAAAATGGGGTCAGGCTCAGCCTGTCTGGTGCCAGGACACGGAAACTGCATTTAAGTCACAGTGCATTGTAGGGACACGTGTCCTCTCCCTTAGTACTGTCCAGGGTAGCGCAGGTCACCCCCAGGGGACATCATTCACCTGTTACCTGCCCCACCCCCCAGGTGGGACCTGTGTCTGGGACAGAACAGGGGTCGTACTCAGAGCAGCCAGGCCCAGGACCCCCGCCCTCCCGAGCAGGGGCAGCTGTGACACCAGCAGTGATGTCCCAGCCCCGTCAGTGTCCTGGGGCAGCGTGACCCAGAGCACAGGTGGGCTGAGCGCTCTGCTACCTGTGGGGGAACGGGGCCCACTTCCCCGTGGGCGGACTGCCGGCACCTCCCGGTTCTGCTCATGGTCCTGGGGGCCCCCCTGCCCCCAACCCGCCTCCCACAGGAACCCAGACGACGGTTCATTTCAGTGGAATTCCTCTGAGGCCGCATGGATTTCTCCGGAATGATTTTATTCCCTTCTCTCTCCACAGGAATATGAACGTAAATATTATTTGAAGGACACGTCCTGCGATGGTAAGTCACGCGGATCCTTCATTTACGGTGACTGTTTAGGCGTAAGGCTTACTGTCTGGTGTGAGTGTCAAGGTGTAATGTCTTTAGTTCCGAGAAGCGGGAACATGTACCTACACGCCGCTCAGGGAACTTCCCTGTGGATTCAGAGTCACTTTTTCACACTCAGTAGTGGCATTAGGGAAAACAGGCGTTTGTCAAGTTTGGGGGTTCATAAAGACTGAACGTGGCTTTTATTTTGTAATATTCATGTTTTTAAGAAACAGTGCGAGTGGCTGGTAGGAATTCCCGTGTAACCCTGGATTGGCAGCCCCCTGTTGGCTGCGATGCTGCGTTTTTAGTGGGACAGGATTTTGCTGAGCCCATGCTGTGTGTCAGGTGCTTTCCACACTCTCATGCTGTCTAACAGCTCTGCGACAGCACCCCACTTTACAGATGTGAAAACAGGACAACCTGAAGCTCCGAGGGGTTACAGCCCTCGCCCCAGATCCTAACCATGGCCCCCTGACGTCAGCCTGCTCAGGGCTGACCGCCTGTGGCCTCCCAGGCTGTGGTGGGAGAGGAAGGCGGGGCCAACCTCAGCCGACTCCGTCCCCACCGGCCTCCGACGGCCCGGGATCCTTGGTCCCTTCCGCCAGCGTCCTCGGGGCCAGTAATGGAGCAGCAGACACGTCGAGGGCCCTGGCGGGTCACGGCTGATCACGGTCTCCTGGCCCCT